GAGGAGTGTCCCACAGAGACCCAGCTTTTATTCTCTTGTCTATCTTTTCTAAGCCTTTCAGCCGCCCCCACTCAGGTTCACCCTTGGCTGTGCTGGCTCAGCACATTTTCTAAAGATATGCCTCCATGCTCCCAGTGTAAGTTCCTGCCTCAAACCCTGCCCTTACAGGAAATAGCTCCAGGAAACAGCTCGGGGGAGGGTACAGCTGTTGCTAAGACAACCCTTGCAGGACTGACTTCCTTCCGCTTGGTTGCGGTTCTGGTCGTGGTGATGACCACCACCCAGGGTTTTTATATAAGTAGATAAACAAGTGGAAAATAAAATGCTATTCACAGTGTTCATTCTAAAGTTCTGTGATAGTCTGGTCTGCCTTGTAAGAGTTCATACTAAATGATAGGTTAAGAGAGATTAAGCAATCCAAACTCCATGATACCATGAACTGAATGATGAGGTTCAATCTATCCTCCTCCCAGCTTATCCCTTTGCCACCTAAATCTCAGAACAATGCTTCCTGTAATCTCAAAAGGAGCAAAGTAGACGACTTACCACCTGAAAATTAGAGTTGGCATCATTATTATGAGGCAGATGCCTCACGTAGGAGGAAGCACGGTTTAAGGAATGTGACCGACATGATGAAGTTGTCCGAGATGCTGACATCATTTGTTGAGCAGAGAGAGGGCGGATGTCTGCACTACAAGGCGATTGAGAAGAGATGGACCGAGGGCAACTGAATGAACGCCTTATGGAACCTATCAATAATGGAAAAGAGGAGTAATTAATAGAATTTCCCACCATTTAAACTAATAATTAGACCACAGGGTAGTGGCATGGTGATAAATGTCAAAGCATAATTCTTCAATTTAAATGGTGACCTTGGTGCAGAACACGTGTCATGTATGTAGAATGGCTATCATGAGAATATTTAAATGGTACCCTTAATTTTCTGTTCTTAAAACATGTCATAGAAGAACCAGAAGAAAGGTAAACTAACATTTTATGGAAAGGAAAACTAAGCTTCCATAGGCCAGGCATCGTGTTACATACACTTTTTTTCTAATCCTCACAGAAACCCTCTGAAGCAGAAATCCCTGTCACCAGGAGGGTCAGGAAAAGAACTTTCTCAAGCTCAGGTTTAAATCTTGACCTAATGCCAGTATCTCACTCTTCCTATGAGACCATGAAAATACTATCCTTTACCCTTGGATTAGATTGGTCAATCATTAGAATCTGTATGTAGGTTATAAGAAAAATATCTTACGGTAAGATTTATAGGAAGGAATGGACAGGAGTCTAGAGAGTTACAGAATTTTTGGCCCATGAGGAAAAAAAATTAAACACAGAAGAAAAATATAAAGATTATCCTAATCGAATTTAAATATATAATTATTACAAGAGTGATGCTAGACAGTCTTCTTATTCACATGAAAGAAGAATTTTTTTAAATAGATTAAATGACCATAGCAATAGGTTATGAGAAAAAGTATATGGAACTAAAGGGTTATAATCAGAACAAACAAGTAGGAAAACCATAGAATATCTTCCCCAGTATACATTGAGGAAATTTAAAAGAGAGAATCCACTATTCCAGGTAAATTTGATTCCTGACACAGGAAAATAGAATATCACTCAATATTATCACATTTATATCTTTTTTTTAGTTCATACATTTTCTATACCTTCTGTGCTATATTATATTCTCTGTTGTTTAGGAATCTTCATTGGTTAAATAATTTAATAAAACTCACATAAAGGCAGGTTGGATAGCCAAATATTTCTCTTCATTAGCTGTTGAAAAAATGTAAACCTTTTAAAAGGCAGTGGATATATAAACTTATATTGAAGGGTATATTTATAAATGATGTTTTGAATAGATATAAAGCCTAATACTCCTCATTTGGTTCAAAAGAGTAAAAAGAAGTATATTCATTCAAGCTATAAAAGATGTTTAAAAAAAACAAAACACTTTCACCACCTCCATTTCTTTAAACTAGTAACGTCCATCTAAGTTTAAAAAAGTCCCACCATTGTGAAAGGACAGTGCTGCTAGAGAAGGGCTGTGTGGGGAACATACCCCAGATCAATCTTCTCTAAGCAAGTACCCAAAGCGTGTGCTTCAACCTGCACCTGGGCCCTGCTCTCCTGTAAGGCTTCATATCGTGGTCTGTGTGGAGCGCACCTGGGAGAGCACCTGAGCAAAAGTTGTCAGCTGAATCCTGCGGTGTCCACACAGCCATTCCCTGGAAACATACCTTGCCAAAGGTGAGGAATGTCGTCAGTCCTGACCTTTAGCTCAGGCGCCAGGGGTGGATGCTATTATCCAGATTCATCCAGGTCTGACAATTATGAGAAGCCACAAGAATGAAGAATGCAGCTTAATCTTAAAGCATGATTTAACTTAATTTCCTTTTTCTTAAACTCTAGTAAAACTTCGTGGTGTCATGCTGTATATAATAAATGTGCTACACTACCTCTGAGTAGCTGTCTCTCCATCTGAGAACAGTGTCCCACCTGGTCCCAGCTTTACTTGTATAATGTCTCTGTGTCTTTCTTTTTCTTAATCCCCCATCACCCCTACTCAGGTCTCTTGTTCTCTCTAGCCACGCGGGTTGCGGCAGAGGTTTGGACATGTGTAATCTGACCATAGATGTACAAGGAAACTATCCTTTTTCTTGAATGGCCAAAGATTCCTATTTTTCCCATGCATACACTGAATATTAAGACACAGTAACTAAGTAGCTAGATATACCAACGACATTTAGGTTGGTTAACAAAAAAATGGTTATAATTTAAATAAATTATGTGAAAGAATATTTAATATAGTTTTGTATATGACTAACTTATATCAACCCAAAATATATATTTCAAAACTACAACAGGTTTGAGTTTCCTAAGTTAACCATCTACAACAGAAAGTGTTACAAATAATATGGACTTTGTCTTTGTTCATCAGCATCACTTTGGACAGAAAACTCAAGAAGGGTCTGTGGCTATATTACTTAGGGTAAGAGAGAATGTAAAACAAAGAGAAACGCTTATTGCAATTTCTAATGACTATAAAAATAAAATCTAATACTTTGTTAAAAGATATGTAATTGAATTAAATTAATTTTAAAAGGAGAATTCACACTTAAAAAGATTTTAGTGCATTATTTGTCCAATATCAATTTATTAACCTATTGGTCTAAGATAAAAGAACAATCTCAAAGCTATGAGAACCTGAATAATTTTTCTTAATCCTACCCTTTTCTCTGCTAATTCAATGCGGTGAGGGATGCACACATTAGCCAAGAGGGGTTAAAAATGGGTGAAATCTGGGCAAAACAAGGCCAGCTTCTGAGAGGAACAGGGTCATTCATAGAGACATACTGAAAGTACATAAGAGAACTTTAAGAAAAAAGGAAGAAACTGATAAAATAACTATAAACTCTGGAACAGGTGCTCAATAAAGATACCTTAAATGAGTAAATAAATAAACAAATGCAATGGAACATAATACAACATTATTTGCCATCCAAACATATAAACCTTCAAAGACAGGAACATTAGCAGGTATCTTTATGAAATAATTTAGAAGCAAATGAAAGACCATTAAGATCTTCATCTATTAGTTATGCATTCCTCATGCATTTTGCCATAAGTGTTGAAGGCAAAATTCTATTATCAGGGAAGAGAACGCATTAAACCATTGTTGGAGATGAACAAAGGCTCACATTGTGTTTATTGCATGATCAAAGCAGTCCCTTTAATGAAGTCCTGGGATAAAGAGAGATGTGAGAAACAAGAGATAAAAATAAGTCCTGCAGTGTCAGGGAGGATCTCTAAGGGAGCCGGGGCAAACAGGGATGCTACACTGGACATTTGGGGATGAAAGAAGAATTATGGACACAATAGTGGACATTGGGGATCAAAAAAAACAATAAAGGACAGGAGAATGGAAGAGAAAATGTAAAAAGAAATAAAGGAACAAAGAAAACTAAAACTAAAAAGGAAGGAGACAGAGAAGCTGGTTGTTCACTCCCTCAATCTACCAATAGCCCCAACTTTAGCACTTACCCATGATGAAAATGAGAGGAAACAAAACTATTTCACAATTGTGTGGCTCACAGATACATTCAAGTCAAATACCGAGAGAGATACATATTTTAAAAAGTAGGCAAGGATACACAACAAAAGGGGCGGCAGAGAGGTAGAGAAAGCAAGAAAGGGTGTGAAAGAATATATTGGCTTAAGAGAGAAGGCAATCAGCAGATCAGTCACGCATCACATTTTATAAATCCATGCAGATGTCTAGGGCTTAACAAAAACTATGAAATATAGAAGAATGGACTATAGAGATTCTTAGGTCAAATAAACTTTCATCATCTACTTGCAGACCCTGAAGGGGATTGTGGGATGCACCCACATCTGGTTAGGGAAGGACGTGGGATAGAATTCAGGTCTCCTCACACAGGACAAGCATTCATTTGGCCCAAGATCCTTTTATTGAGTTTTGTAATTCAGTTCCATAATTCTTCAGCTATAACTAAATTAGAAGAAATTAACTTACTGGGTGTTTGGAATATTTTGCAGTGGTTGGATTGTTTAAGATTATAAGTAACTTGCTTTTCTCTTCTCTTACTTTGGTACTCTTCATTTTCATCTGATTCTGAAGAGCTGTCACTACTATCATAACTGCTATCACTGCTGTAGTACTTCTGTCTTCTCATCACCTCTGTACTCTCAGGCATGGAACAGAGAGGCTAAAACACAGAAAAAGGTGTTACTGTCAGAACGTTTCTTAAGAAGGCACATTAACATGATTAATTACTATTTTCAATTTCCCACTATGCATGTTGCTTCTCACTGACACCTGAAAATCCTCCAAAGTGCTACTGCTACAGTGCTGTAATTAGCCTCCAATGCAATTCACTAATTTTTCTATTTCTGCCAAATATTCTTCCTTAAATAACATAGTTCATTCATAATGAGGAAAATGCTTTTTCTCCGTGATTTAAAAAAAAGACAAGGTTATCATCACAAACAGAAAATAAAATAAATTATTTGAGATAAAAGTATAAAAATTAGAAACATAATCAAATTTTCTTCATTCCATACAGAGAGGTTACCCATTATTCATCAAGACTCAGGTATGTATCTCTGTTGTATCATTAATGTTCAGTCATTCAATCAAAGTGTGTGTATGTGTTTGTGGATATGTGTGCGCATGCTTGTGAGAAAGAGAGGAGGAGGAGAGAGGAAGGACAAGAGGGGCAGAGAGGCAAAAAGAAAAGGAAAGCAGAGGCCAAATAAACCACAGAAAGCAAAGTAAGATAAACCACTATATATCCACAGAGGTCACATCTTAAAACAAAAGCCAATGAACCGATTCACTCAGATAATGTGCAAAAGGACTAAGGTATTTCTCATATATCTAACTTGTTATGAACATTTTTACAAATAAAAAATTGTAGTTAATTGTCCACTTTCCAAATTGGTTATGAACAACTTAGGTTCTTTCTCAGAAGATTCCTAACTATGACACAAAGGGTCTGGTCATAATGGGACCACATTGCTTTTCACTGCCCGTGCTACATTTAAGAAAAACAAAAGTGATATAATGTAAATCAATACATCATAAATTTTTGGAGGATTGGTGCCATGCAGAGGGTAAAACTGTAAAGATTCAAAATGCCAGACTACTGTGTTCCAATATCTCCATTAGAATCTCCTGTCTTCAAACCTCCCCAGGAAGAGTGTTTCCAGTGCCGCTGAAAGAATGAGATCAGGGAAGTGGGACAGTTTTACTTCACAAAGAGTATGAACCAACAAGGTCAAGACAGTTTGGGAACTTAGTCATGTTAAGAGACTATTTATCACATATACCATATGCCTCTTATTCCTTCTGGGAAAAGTTCCCATAGTTGTATATAACCATAGTTGTATATAAGTTTCTTGATCTCTGTTCAAACACAAACGTTTGATGTTAGCATACATAAATAATGAAATCCTTGGCTACCATGGGATTTCACTGGAATAAGGCATCTCCTCTCATGTAACAGTGTGAGATGAAAGGTACAGAAAGGAAGAGCATTGCATGAAGTGCCCGGAATACACAGTAAGCCAGAGCATGATCTTCTCACAGTTATTGGCTTTGCAAAGGATGAAAAATCACCAGAGGAAGGTAATTTAATATACGACAGTACCAACTTGTATGTAAAAGTATGTTCTCCTTTTGATAGTCCAATATTTACTGAGCACTGGCAATGTTCATTGTGATATGCATAAAAACCAGTAATTTACCAGTAATACAATCACCAAATATCTTGACAGCCTTGGGGAATAAGAATTCTGGAGGAAGGGCATTTCTTCGGAAGTCTAGCAGACCCAGAAGAAACAGTGGCACAATCAGGCTCCTTCTTTCGTGGAGGCAAACAGATTTCAGGTTTTTTAAGGGAGCTTGACTACATAGTGAGCTATTTGACCTTTTAAAGAATCACAAGAGGAAACTAAAAGCTGTGTCATATGTGCATTTTGACCAACACGCTGTTCAAGCAATAACTAATAAGATGTCATAGTGGCATAAACGCTAAACAATGCCTTACCTGAAAAATGGAATTATTTGCAAACTGGTATTGAGTTATCGCACAAACCATACTACTTACTTTTATGTCCAATTTTATTTTTAAGTGGGTCATAAGTGAATTGCAATAATTAATATACAAAGCTCAGAAACTTCCCAGTGTTTTCCAAAGTGAAGCAATGACTCATTAAGGTATTCACTTTTACAGACACGCTAAAAATATAATTGTTCCAAAGGCATTGGCAATGACATCTTCCACAATTCCTCAATAGAGAGGATATAATTCAGAAGAGCAGCACCTGACATCCAAGACCTCCAGTCTTCACCAGATCCGTATCTTTCACCAGGTTCATCACGTACCATTGTACTCTCCAAGAATCTTCCACTGGAGTCATACCAAATTCTTCATATTTCTCTAACAAGCTAGGCAATGTCACAACTCCATGTCATTGCCTTGAATGTTCCCTTTAACCCAAATGTCCTTCACTCATCTTAAATGTTTACAGCATTACTCATTTGCAAAGACCCAGTTCAAATGGCACTTATAAAGCCATCCACAGTCTACCAATCCCTTTCTTCTCTCACTGTAACACTTTCCACTCGCTTTATTACAGTATTTGCCACAAGCTGGTTCTTGGTTCACCTATCTGCTCATTCTGCCAATGAGGTCCTTGCAGACACATTCAACAAATGTAACTAATAGAGGTTTAAAAATATTTTTATTGATTTTTAGAGAGAGGAAGAGGGAGAGAGAAACAATGATGTGAGCTCAGAACATGATCAGCTGCCTCCTGCATGCCCCCTACTGGAGATCAAGCTGCAACTCGGGCATGTGCCCTGACTTGGAATCAAACTCCAGCATGTACTCTGACAGGGAATCATACTGGCAACCTTTTGGTGCACTGGACGATGCCCAACCAACTGAGCTACACCAGCCAGGGCCTAACTAACAGTGTTTGAGAACCTACCAAGTCCCAGATGCTGTGCTTGGTTTGAGAGATGCAAAGATAAAATCATCCTACCCTCAAGGAACTTACAACCTTTTATTAAGGCAAAGATGCAAGTAATTATTTGTCACAACTGCTCTACAGAAGCATTATTTGTGATACAGCAGAAGGAGGAGAAGGAATCATCTGATAAGGTTTTCTAGAGTCACGATTTTCCTTCTCTATATCACTATACTTCTCTGGTACTTATATGTCTAGAGAAATGAGGGGAAATTAATACTGAGTATAAAATAAGGCTATTAGTTCTAAGTCCCTCTTGGTCCGACTCATCAGGATTTCACTAGTATTACAAAAAGAATCCAAGAAGAGTGAGGAAAACTAACAAAACAAAAAAAAATAGAACTTCTATGTGTGAGATAACCAACTCTCTCTGTACTGCACACATAGTCCATACAGTTCCTTGAAAGTGGCATCAGTCATTACTATAGTGACAAATACAAAGGGGAAACAACTGTACTAAGTCGTATCTACTTTGATACTAAGAAAGATACGGGTACTGTACCTTTGGTCCTCGAGGCATGGAAGTTTTGCCCATCAACTTTTCGTCATCGATTTCACATTGTTCCAGAAGATCCAAAATTTCTTCCTCCTTAAAAAGATATTAAAACTATGATCACCAATGGATTCTAGAATTTTTTCTAAATTCATTAATCTCCATAAAATAATGTACAACACAGTTCCTAAAACTATTTAATGAAGACTACTCAGATCAAATGAGTAATAAAGGCCATGAAAAACTCTTTAAAAAATGGCGTTCACTAAAATCTGACAATATAAATAATACAATGCTGAAAATCTATTATATATTACTAGAGGCCCGATGCACGAAATTCGTGCCACGATAGGCCTTCACAGCCCTGGCTGCCTCCCAGCCCCAGCCCCAGCCCCGGCTGCTGGGGCCCTCGCCTGGCACTGCCCACATCCGCCCTCACACACCCCTGGTTCCCTGGTTCCACAGAGCCCCCCATCAATCGCCACGCAGTGGGTGGCCCGGACCTCTCTCTGCGGAGCAATCATGGGGTGATGGCAGGGCCCCCTGACCAATCACATAGCACCCGCCTTGGCTGTCCTGGCGCCAGTGCGTGTCATCCAGTGCGTGTCATCCGGACGGTCGTTCTGCTGTTTGGTCGTTCGGTAGATTTGCATATTACACTTTTATTATTATAGATTATAAACAAATGTATTTTATGTTTTAGAACATTATTAAAATCTGACTACAATAATAAATTAGCCTATTAGACACTTTAAATTTTCTAAAAATCACTCTAATTTTCCAGACCACAATCTTATCAACCATTTCTATATTGATTATTGTAAAATAATAATACAATTTCAGACAGAAAACTGATGACTGACCTAGCAGTTAGTAATCTAATGTTAATGTTTGTTCAATGGGCACAATTTAATGGAATTTTCAAAACTTCAACTATTGAACAATAGTATCTTTAGAACTTTATAAAATGTTTTCATCCTATAGGCTTAATACCTTCTCTAATCCTCTTCAAAAATCATTTTGAAGTCAAAGGGAAAAGTTATAAAAACATAACACCCAAGTGAATACTGAGCAAACCAGAGCAATGGGAGCATAATAGTTATATTGAAAGAATAATTGATGCTTCTTTGAACTATTTATTCAACCTACAAAAATATCACATCTTTACTTATATGATTTATATTTCAGTACCACTTTTTTTAAAAAGGTTTCTGAAGAAACTAGAAATCTCACTGTGCAATGAAATTTATCTTACTCTTCATACCAATCAAAGAAAGTTTAGCTATTAAAATACCAAAACGCCGAAACCGGTTTGGCTCAGTGGATAGAGCGTCGGCCTGCGGACTGGAAGGTCCCAGGTTCGATTCTGGTCAAGGGCATGTACCTGGGTTGCGGGCACAACCCCAGTGGGGGATGTGCAGGAGGCGGCTGATCGATGTTTCTCTCTCATCGATGTTTCTGACTCTCTATCTCTCTCCCTTCCTCTCTGTAAAAAATCAATAAAAAAAATATATTTAAAAAAAATACCAAAACATTCTTGCTATACAGTTTGATTAAATAATGATCCTACAATGAATTCCAAAGCACAAGATAGTTAAAATGAAATGTATGGAGTTCTACCTCTGTTTAGGAGAAAAAATGTAAAAGGCAATACTTTTATCGTTAACAGCTAGAGAAAGACAGATAAACTAAATAATCATATTTTTAAGACTTTGGAAAGCTGTGGATTAAAAAGTAGTATAAAGGAACTAAATACCAGACAGGGAAAAGTTCTTCCTAGGTTTGAAGAGATGAGTGACCTCTTTGTACATTTTGGTCATTTGCATATCTGGACACAGATCAACAAGGATCAGGCCCAGAACAGAGAGATTCTGCTATGATAAAAAAAAAAAGGAAATTCCTATGGTCATGTGGGCTAGTGTAACATCTGGAAGAGCCCACAGAGCTGGCTCTCTCTACCTGCTGGGTCGCTCTGATATTACTTTTTTAGTATGAAGAGATACAGGAGAATGGAGGCAAGGATGGAAAGCCAGAGAAATAGCTATCTGTAGTCTTACAATTCTTAAATACCAATAGAGAATGAGGCCTGTAATAAACACTGAATAGATGTCACCTTCAAGGCACTTGAAACTATAACTATTACAAGCCAGCCTGGACCCAGTTCAACCTTTCTTATTTTTTTAAATTAATTAATTAATTTATTTATTTTGCCCTTGACCAGAATCAAACCAGGGACCCTTCAGTCCACAGGCCAATGCTCTATCCACTGAGCCAAACTGGCTAGGGCAACCTTTTTATTTTAATTAAAACATATTTGACATATAACACTGTATAAAATTAGGGTTTACAACATATTGGTTATTATACATTTATATATTGTAATATTGCCATTGTGTGTGGTTAGAATAATTAAGATCTAATCTCTTAGCAAGTTTAACTATTACAGTAAAATATAATGGTCTATATTCACCTTTCTCCCACCCCACCACCCAGCTTGTGGTAACCACAATTTTACTGTTTTTAATTGGCTTTTTAAAAATTTCACGTGTAAGGGATATCATACAGTGTTCGTCTCTCTCTGTCTGACTTATCTCCCTTAGCATAATGTGCTCAAGGTCCATCCAGGTTGCCTCAAATGGCAGGGTTTTCTTCCTTCTCATCACAGAAGAATAGTTCATTGTAGTCTATACCACATCATCTATATCCACTAATCCACTAACAGGCACTTAGGTTGTTTTCCACAGCGGCTGAACCAATTTACACTCCTACCATGAATGTGCAAGCATTCCTTTTCCCACATCCTTCCAATGCTTGTTTACTCTGTCTTTTTTTTATAATAACCATTCAAACAAGCGTAAAGTGATATATCATTGTAGTTTTGATTTGTATTCCCTTGATGATTAGTGACGTGGAGCATCTTTCATATCTCTGTTGGCCATTTGGATGTCTTCTTTGGAAAAATGTCTATTGGGTTCTTCTGCCCATTTTTTAATTTGATGGGGTTTTTTTTTTGTTATTGAGTTACATGAATTCTTTATATATTTGACTAATAATTCCTTATCCTCGATATAGTTTGCAAAAATATTCTCTCATTCTGTAGGTTGCATTTTTTTTGTTTCTTATTTGTTTCTTTTGCTATATTGAAGCTTTTAATTTTGATGTAGTACCACTTGCTGACTTTTGCTTTCCTTTAACTTTTCTTTGGCTCGAAGTAATTAGCCCCTAACTCTAACACTCTGTACTAAGAAATATTTGCCTTCTTAGCCAGAAAATATCAGTTCAGCTTTATGATCCTTTTATAAGCATCTATCAAACAAATAAAAATTATAGGACATCAAAAATAATAATTAAAAAATGTGACCTATAATCAAAAGTAAAGGATGTCAGTAAAAGCAGGTCAATAAATAATCCAAATATTAAAATTAACAAAGATTTTTCAAAAATTATTAAATACATGTTACAGGAAATAATGAAAAGGAGAACAAAATGAATGAAGGATGCAAAATTTTACCAGAGAAATGAAATTTTAAAATACCAAATAGATATTCTTGAATTGACTAATATAATCTAAAATTAAGAAGTGATTGGGTAGGCTCAAGGGCAGTCTACACACAGCAAGAATATGTCAATGAAAATTATCCAAACTGAAACACACAGAGAGAGAGAAAGAGTGAGAGAGGGAGAGAGAAAAATAAAACAGAATAGGGCATCAAAGATAAATGGGATGCTGTCCAATGATCTAATATATGTGAAACTAGAGTCCCATAAAAGAGACAATATACAAAATACAGCAAAAATATCTGATGAAATAATGAAAGCAAATTTAAATGTATGGAAATTAAGCAACAAACTTCTAAATGACCAAAATAAAATTCAAAAAACAATTTTAAATGGCAGTAAATAAAACCAATGAAAGACATTAATGCCCGTCTTCAAGAAGTTGACAAAACCACAAGCAGGGTAAATACAAAGGAACTCACACACAGACACATCAAAGACAAAATGCTGGAAATACAAGAAAAAGCAGTCAATACCAAGGACATATTATATTCAGAGGAAAATCAAACAAAAAATAATGGCTGGATTCTGAATAGGAATGAGAAGACAAAGAAATGACATATTTAAAAGTGCTGAAAGGAAAAAAAAAAAAAAGCCTGGTAAGATAAAATTCTATGCTCAGTTAAGCTATCCTTTATAATAAAAGGATAATATGCAAATTGATTGAAGGGTGGAACGACCAGTCAGCGGAGGGCAGGGCTAGTGAGCAGGCAGTGCCAGGCCAGACAATGCAGGTGCCAGCAGGCAGAGGGAGGGGATGGCGATGAGGGGGCGGGCAAATAGAAATATTAAAATATTTCTTCTAATTAATTCACTTTCAATGTGTACAAATTTGTGCACCAAGCCACTAGTTTAAAATAAAGATGAAAGTAAAAGATAATTTCAGCTTAAAAAAAACAAAACAACTGAGAGAATTCATACTAAAATGAATATGAAATACTAGAGAAAGTTTCTTCAAACTAGGAGAAATGATCATGTCAGAAGCATGAAATGAAGAACACAAGAAAGGATAAAGATGTAGGTAAATATGAAGTGGTATTTAGAAAACTATTAAAGACCGCTTAGAGCTTAGAAAATAATAACAAGGTGTTTTAAAGACTGTAACATATGTAAAAGTAATATATGTGATAACAGCACAAAGTCTAGAGAGAGGCACCAAATAAAATTAAATCACTAGCATTCTTGTGAAGTGATAAAATACTAATTCAAGGTAGACTTTATGATTTAAGGATGCATATTGTGATTTCTTTTCAAACCCCCATATTATGCTGCAACTATAACTAAAAGCCAATAGTGAAGATAAAATAATTTAAAAATTGACTTTTCCAAGAATAAAGAAAAGCAAAAAAGAAATACTAAACAAATAGTATAAATAGAAGGAAAAAAAAGACAAAAGGCAGACATAAACCCAACTATACCAGTAATTTTGTAAAATGATTTAAAGACACATAGTCAGACTAGATTTAAAAACAAGTATGACTTAACTTTATGCTATTTATCAAAGGTATTGTAAATATTGTTACTTTTAACATGGGTTACTAGTAAAAATGGCTGGATAGAAAAGATATGCCATTTAAACAGTAACCACAAGAAATAAACTATTAATCACGCAGTTAAATTTAAGACAAAGAATGTTTCCCAAAAGAAAGATAAACACTGCATAATAATGATAAAATAGGAAAGGTGAATTAGGAAGACATCTTCATAACTTCAAAGAATCTGAAACAAAAATTGACAGAACTAAATCCACAAATCTCTCTCAGCAATTGCTACACCACATAGGCCAAAGAAATATGTAAAAGGATATAGAATATTTAAACACTAATAGCCAAATTTACTTAAATGACATCTATAAATCTCTACAACCAACACCTGCAGTATACACATCACCAAGTAGACTTGGTACATTTGCTAAAATATGTACTATATTGAGACATAAAGCAAGTTTCAATTCATTTTACAAGACTGAAATGCTTTTCTAACACCGATCAACTATACCAGAAATTCCTAAAAAAATAAAACTACAAAATGTTAATGTATGGAAATTAATCAACAAACTTCTAAATAACCAAAATAAAAATCAGAATTTAATAAAAATATAATATGTAAAAATTGCCATGTAAAAGGGCGATATGTAAAAATAATCAGATAGTTATTTCCAGGCAACAAACCAAAGAGTGAAAAATAAATGAAAAACTATTTATTGGTAATAGTAGCAAAATACAAATACTTAATAAATTTAATGAAAGATGTGCAAGAACTATATAGAAAAAACAACAAACAGAGCTGATTAATTAAAGACTCAAATAAATGGAGATATGCCATATTGATGGATCAGAGACTCAGTATTGTTAATTCCCGAGAAATTGTTTTACAGTTTCCTCACAGTCCCAATTAAAATCCCAGCAGCCGGTCAAAAAATATTCTCAAGATGATTCTAAAATGTATATGAAAATGTAAAAGGACCTAGAAAGCCCAAAAGAGTATGAAAAAGAACAAATTGAGGGCATGCACTACCTAATCTCAACATTTACTAAAAAGAAACAATAGTAAAAAAAAAGGTGTAAAATTTGCATAAGAATAGGCTCACAGGCCCAGGGAACAGGGCAAAGTGGTGACATTTAAACTACATTTTGAGGAATAGAAATAGGGAATTAAGGTTTGAAGCCTATTTATTAAGTGTCAAGTACTTTAATAGACTATTTTAGTTAACCTCAATTTTATTTTCATAACCAACCTGACAAGTAGTTTTAATACTACTATTTTGGTGACAAGGAAACCACTGATCAAATAGTTTAGCCTAAGGTTATAAAATTAACATGTGGGGAACTAGAATTTGAATTTAGATGTATCTGTACCCCTAGGTTTTCTACTAGAAAAAATAAGGATGGAGGATCAGTGTAATGAGAAAAGGGAATAGATTATTTAGCCACATGAGAGGGAAATAACATTATAGAACAGGTGAAGAAAAATGAAGAAAGGTCTCCCACTGGGTTAAAAAAAAAAAAAAAAAAGGTCAGGCTGGCTTGGCTTAGTGGTTACACATTGACCAATGAACCAAGAGATCACAGTTGGACTCCTGGTCAGGACACATCTCCAGGTTGCAGGCTCAATCCCAGTGTAGAGTATGCAGGAGGCAGCCAACTGATGATTCTCATCATTGATGTTTCCATCTCTCTCTCCCCCTCTTTCCTCTCTGAAATCAATACAAATATATTTAAAAATAAAAACAAAAAGGCCACAGAACATAATTCTAATGTTAAAACATTTGCATACCTCAAAAGAGGGAAATTTGGAGGAAAATAACACTTGAGATATACAATGTTCCTTCTGCTTCTATCTCTTAGGTTTAGCCAGCTTGAAAATGGCTTTGAAACTTTCTGTTGTGGAATCTGAGTGAAAAGATCATATTTATCATGATTTTGTAATTACTCAATATAACAGTGTATCCATGATATGGGGATTATATTACTGTAGGGATATGTCAAGTAATATAAAGTCCAAACAGTATTAATAGGTCCACATAAAGTTAGTTGCCCAATGGAACATTAGTAAGTGTCATGCAAGCAGGGGCTTGATTAGCACTTACACACTGGGCCTGTCTTTAAATTCTCCCTTTTGGAACCTCAGACTACCACAGCGAGGGATCTGGCTACCCTGCTGGGAGACCATGCAGAGAAAAAGAGACATCCAGTCAGCTTCCCAGATGTTCCAGCTCTCTCACCTGAGGCTCTAGACATGTCAGTGAAGCCATCTTGCATATCCTTTCAGATAAATGCAGTGAATCATACTTTATTCACTCCAAGCAAGACAAGCAGAAAGAACTACTCAAGTGAGCCCAGCCAAGTGTGCAGAATAATGAGCAAATAAATGAAATGGTTTATTATGCTGCAATAGATAACTGATAGACCGTCAGTAAGGTAAACAGATTACTAGGTGGGGAGTGGGGGAATGTTTGGGGATATGCATGTGTATTTATTACTTCTCCTTTATCAGATCTAGGCAGTATCAGGGGAAAATACTGAATAATGTCAGATACGCTACAAATAATGAGAACATTACAAACCACTTGGTAAATACAATGGATTTTTTTAATTCAGTTACATATACACAGTTGTTATAACACATGTTTATTACAATAGATCAGTATTCCAACATATAACATCAACATTCTCTACTGCATAACTTGTCCTGTTAGACAACTTCTTATTTTTGAAACCACCTGGTTGGTTATGAAATGTTACCAACTGTGAAAATGGAAGCAAGTGCATCTTCAACATAAAATGTTTCTATATGTGGGACTGAGGTAGGTTGTTTTTAAAAGCATATTATTTGGCATAATTCTTTTTTCTCTTTATAAACACGTATCCCTTTACCTTCATCCTTTTCAAAGGATTGTTCAGCTCACGCTGGAATGAAGCTGCTCTTCCTGAAAGAAAGGTCTGAAAGGCAGCAGCCAACAAATTTTCATACTTTTCAAGTAGAGTTTTATCATCAGGAGGATAAATTCGTCTACAATAAAATCAGATAAACCAACGTGTTTAAAAAAACTAACAGACTGACAACTGTCAGGGGTGAGGGGTCGGGTAGCTGGGTGAAAGAAGGTAAAGGGATTGGAAAAAACAAAAACATATACATAACACATACACGTGGTGATAGCCAGAGGGAAATGAGGCAAGGGCTAGGTGGAGGTGGGCAAGGAGGGAGAAATACGGATGAAAAGAGACTGCTTGGGGCGATGGGTGCACGATGAAGTGTGCAGATGATGTTTTGTTGAGTTGCACACTTGAAACCTGTATAATTTTGTGAACCAGTGTCACTCCCAGTAAATTCAATTTTTTAAAAAAAAGAAGCTATTATAGTGTAAGAGTTAATGTCAACTACATAGCTAATCCTTAACCTCCTATTCTGCCTTTACTGGGTGCCACAAATAAAGATGAATACAGTTATGAAAAATCCATAAATGTGCATTGTCATGCACACAAATTAAAGTTTATCTAGAGAATTATCTTAAAACAATGCAACTCCAGATGATACAGTATAAGGGTTTAGTAGGAGGTAGTGGTTGAAATCATTGCAGTTGGGTACACTGAAGAAATCCAAAACGTCATGGGGGAATGTTTAGGTGATGAGGGATTACTTGGGAGTGTTGGATTTAGTGTGGTTACTGAAGAATGCAGAGATTAACCTGATGATCTCCTGGGATAGTGGAGAGAATTTGGTAGAGGCAGGGTGACAGGAAATGTGATGTCACCACTCCTGCTGATGGTGTTGAGGCTAGGGAAGAATGGCCTACTATGAGTGCAAGATGATGTATGGCCCCCAAGTCTCCTAATTCTGCTGAGGCCATGTCAAAGCTTGGGGGGAAGGACAGTCTCTTTAAGAACACAAGGAGCTTAGGGAGTCTCCTTTTATCCTGTCAAAGCTGATACCATGGAAGGGGTTTCATTTAGCAGAGTCCACACCCTTTCTACTGTCTCATATCTGTCTCCTTCAAACATCTTCATTATATCCCTACTCCATGATACATTAGAGTTTAGAGCAAAATATAGTCACCCCTTGGAATTGGCAGAAAGAATACTAGTAGACCTGAAACGTGTCTCAAAATACCACATTATAACCAAACTAGAGGCTCAGTGCATGGATTTGTGCACTGGGGCCAACTGGGGGAGCACAGTTCATCCCAGTCAGCCAAGTGGCTGTGGACCGCCCTCTGAGCAGCTGCTCCCGCTGTGGGAGCACACTGACCACCAGGGGGCAGCTCCTGCGTTGAGCAACTGGTCCACCAGTCATTCTGGTGATCCGCCATTCAGTTGCGAGGTTTTTATACTATAGATAAGGTCACAGGATAATAGCTGATTTAAAAGATAATAGCAGATTTAACCACCCTCGAGGCTGGCTAGCAGGAGTCTCCCAAGTCTGAACCACCTACTTGTTGTCTACCTTTTCATTCTAGAAAAATATCACACAAAAGCACCATCTCAAAGTAAAATGAACAGTGCTTAAAACAAGCCTAAAGCATTAAAGAATGTACACTCATTGTTTTAACACTTCACTTGTACAATCTGTATAAAAAGGAAGCACGCTTACCTATAATTCCCCATATGTCGATTTTCATGTTGTTCTTTAGAGACCTGCTTTCGCACTTGAACAAGCCTCTCTTTCTAGAAATACAGAAATTTGACAAATAAAACCTGGCAAATGAATTATGCAATTCAAAACGTGGGTGTGTTAAAATAGTCATACCAACTCCTCTTTCCGCCTCTCCAGCTGATGCCTCTGCTGCTCCCAGTCTGAGGAACCTGGCAAGAGCCTTTTGATTGAATTCTGACCATAAAGCCTCCTTTGAGCCTCAGCTTTTTGTTTGGCCAAGTTTCTCCTTTTATCGCTGGTCCTAAAATATAAAACACACGATCCTATTCTAGAATTCCAATTGTGATTTTATCCTTGTGAGGAGAAGGAGCAGAAAAGGAGACACAGTGACAATAGGAATCAATGTCTATTAAATGATATATCCACATACGTTATATTCATCAAATCAGCATCAAATAAGGGTCTCCCCATTGTAAATAGAAGCTCTGAAGGTAACAAAATAAAATGAAAACAGTATAACGATGTACTAGCTGTACAATCTCAGGTTAATTACCTGCTGAGTCTATTTCCCCATCTATTAAATATAACAAAAATGTTTCCCTCCTACAGTTCTTATAAAGATCAACTTGTGGTATCAAAAATAGGTCCTTAATGAATATTGGATCTTTCTCTTCCTTCAACAATTCCATTTATATTTAAGTATTCCCTCATTTACACTAACCACTTCTTAGTTTATTTTCAATTCTGACTGAAATCCTAGCCTAACAATCACTATTTCATTGAAGACTTCTGCATAGTCCGTCTCATTTTTGCCCAATCATGCAAATTTAGTTACAGCTGTCTGATTTCCATAGAAAAAGTCCTGCTGGGAGACTGCTTTCCTCTGAAACTCGTTCCTCTCTCTTCCCTCCCACGTAGCAGGTGCAATCCGTGGAGAGTACTTGTTTGAGGACAGACTTTCAGTTTTGCACAATGAAAAAGTCCTGGAGATGGATGGTGGTGATGGTTGCACCACATTGTGCACGTACTTAATGCCACTGAATTGCACACTTAAAAATGGTTAAGATAGTAATTTTTATGTGAGGTATATTTTACCCACCCCCCAAAAATTTAATGAGTTGATATCAGAGGAACTAAGATAAACGTACATTTAAATATGTGCAAAAACCATGAACATGTGGCATAGCACCACACATGCGTTCTTAGAAAAATTAATTCCAAGGCAGGGGAAAAGAACAAAAAGTGATCATATTGATGAGAGATGCAAAGACCAGATCAAACATTGTTTTATATACAATCTAAAGGTCAAAACTGCTTTGATACAATGTTTAAACCTCATCTGATAGAGTAGAAACAACGTGATCAGAATATCAGAGTTTATAAATATCTTTTCAAATGTTGGCATTCCTCGCCGGCCTGCTGTGGCTCAGTGGTTGAGTGTCAACCCATGCACCAAGAGGTCACCGGTTCTATTTCCCATCAGGGCACATGCCCACGATTGTGGGCTAGATCCTCAGCAGGAGGCGTCAGGAGGCAGCCAATCAGTGTTGATTGATGTTGATGTTTCTCTCTCATTGCTATTTTTATCTCTCTCTCCCACTCCCTCCCTCAAGACATTTTTTTAATGTTGACATTCCTCAGGATTCTGTCAGGCCCCCCTTTACTTCTCAATATGTACACTATGTGCTTTCATCCATTAGACCCAACAGCAATCTGTACATGGCTGTCAGTCAAATAGACATCTCTATCTCCCAGGGCACTATATATCAGATTTCCAGGTTAACAATTCTTCCCGGGGTCACAGAGAACCTCAAAATTAGCATGTTTAAAACTGAACTCTCTCTCTCTCTACCTTCCCTCATCACTCCTCTAAATCTGTTTCTCACCTAAAATTTTTATCTAAATCATTATTGTATTGTTAAACAAGTTGCCCAAGCCAGAAACCCAGGAATCATGGTACACACTGAATTCCTAGTCCCTCCTACAGTAAGTAGTTAACACTTGTCAAATGATCTGCAGAGCCACAGAGTGGAGGCTGGAAAATGGGGCGGGGGTTAGCACTGAAAGAAGGAAGAAAGCCAGTAAAATAACCCAGGAGAGAAATGAGAAGTCATTAAACTTAGTGAGACTACAAAATTAAATGGTAGTCATACACTGTACAGGGTTCAGTTGATTCATAATAAAGGAAGGAACTAATGATAACTCCCAGCTTTGTAGCCTGAACATTTACATGGATGGTTTTACAATTAACTAGCAAAGCAAGACACAAAACTAGGTTTGAGTGATTATCATTATAAGTACTTTTCTATGAGCATATGGTTTCCCTTTTAATAACTGAGCCACTTAAGGAGAGAAAATTTTATTAATTTTTCTATCTCCATCTTCTAGTACAATATAAGCTAAGAATGTACATTAAATATATGAAAAGGTTTTTCTTTTGTGGGTTGGAGGTAATTGACATCATTAGCAGAAGAAAAGAGAGAAACCCAGCAAGAAAGGAGAAGATAATTCAACTTCTGGTTATATTGAATTTAAAGTGTCATCAGATCACTCACCCATTCATTCATTTACTTACTTCCTTACTAGTTCACTCACTCATTACAAATTAACTGAGCCCCTATTAGACCAGAAACATTGAGTGTAAATGCTCAGCAGAGATCTGCAAATGCAAGACCAGAGCCCAAGAGTGGACAGAGCTGTCGAGAGGAACCCTAATCTGTGCCTCAATACAGGTGTAGACCTGGGACTCCAGTGTCTGAATCACAAAAGATGCTACAAAAATGAATGAGACTGACACAGAGGAAAAGAGGGCTGAGGCAAGAATGCAGTGAAAAGAAAATGACAAGTAGGGGGGAGTGAAATCATAGAAGACAGAGAAATGCTCAAAGTTAAGTGAATTCAGAAAATAGAGTGTCAAAGAGGCCAGTGAGAATCAATTTTCAAGGGCAGGGTAGCATGAATTGCTGCATACACCATACACATGTAGCCTGTGAACTAGTCATGTCATAACTAAGGGTCAGGTAATCTAATGTAACCTAATCTAATCTGAACTAAACTAATAAACAGTACAGTATTTCAGACTCACAGAACCCATGAGACTATAACTACCTTTTGTAGACTCAATTTTAATGATTATAATACAATAGTTATGGAGGAAAAACGATTCTTCTTATCAACACACCAACACCCCCAATATACAGGATTGCCTTTTCCTTTTATTACTGAAAAAGCTCCTTTTTTACTTATTACTATTTTACTATTTACCTTTACTTATTCTTCTTTCTCTTGTTCTGCATATAGCCCCTTTTGTATTCTCTTATCTCTGAAGACCCCACGCCAAATGTTTCAGAAAATTATCTGAATCTGAAATTACGTTGTGCCATCCAAGTACAAAGGGGATCAATTCTGACCCCTCAATATGAGGTTCAGTATTCTCAGGGGCTGTGATACATACTCTGAGCTGTATACCACCAGTACACACTTTTTGATTCTCTTGAGACTGAAAGTATACATTTACACTATGAATTTTGGGGTACATATGGAGCCACACTATAAGTAAAGCATCATACTAAGAATTGTGTTCTGGCAGGCATGGGCTCAGTGGCTGAGCATCAACCTATGAACCTGGAGGTCACGGTTCAATGCCCAATCAGGGCACATGCCTGGGTTATGGCTTGATCCCCAGTGTGGGGTGTGCAGGACACAGCCAATCAATGATTCTCTCTCATCATTGATGTTTCTATCTCTCTCCCCCTCTCCGTTCCTAGCTGAAATAAATAAGTATATATATATATTAAAAGAATTGTGCAGGATAGCAAAGTATATGCTCCTTGACTCAAGGAGCTTAGATCAAATTGAAAGGAAAAATCTGCCATGCCCAACTAAAAGAGCACAGAGCAGAAAAGAGTAAACAAAGCAATAAGCCATGTCCTATGCAGACTCTAATTCCTCCTGAAGTTCAAAGAAAGAAAAGATTAACTTGTGCTAATACACCATAATAAAAGATAAAATTTGAGTCATAGGCAGTAAGGAAAGGCATTCAGGATAAGGAACAGAATAAATCATCAATGAGAATAGGCTACACATGTGAGAAAAACCTTATATAATAGAACCCTAATATGCAAATCGACTGAACAATGGAACGACCGGTTGCTATGACATGCACTGACCACTAGGGGCAGACGCTCGATGCCGGAACTGCCCCCTCGTGGTCAGTGCACTCCCATAAGGGGAGCACCGCACAGCTAGAAGCCATGCGGCTGGTGAGCACAGTGGTAGTGGTGGGAGCCTCTCCTACCTACAAGGCAGCACTAAGGACCCCTCAGCGGACATCCCCCGAGGGGTCCCGGACTGCGAGAGGGAGCAGGCCGGGCTGAGGGGCCCCTTCCTGCCAAGTGCACAAATGTCATGCACCAGGCCTCTAGTAATGTGATAATCAGCCTAACTAAACAGTTTTGGTCGGAGAGAAATAGGAAATAAGATGAAAAAGCTAAGATTAAGTTATATTATGAAAGGAACTTAGATTAAGTGTTGGCAATAGAAATCCAATTAGGTTCTTGAGCAGAAAGATAACACAATAAAAAAGATCATTGTGATAGTCTGATTAAAATAAATATAATAGGGAATCACAGAGCAATTTATTCTATCCAAAAGTAAAATAGTCCATATAAAAATTAATCCAATAATATTTAATAAATAGGCAAGAATTTTCCTAGTGTTCTCAGCTCCTGCTTATGTTTCCATGATGTGCCCATCGCATACCTTGCCACAGTGAGATACAAGTCTAACACATATACCCATGGAGCCCTCCATCTGGCTGGAGAGAAAAGGCACAGCTGCAACCTAAGCTTCATTAGCATAAGCTCTATATGGTATGAATTTTGCTAAATTCTCTTAGTGGAACAACACTAAGAAAATTAAGAAAGATTAAGTCCAATTCTCCCTTCGTTTTAAGCCTAGAAATGTCTCACTGTTTCAATGTATATATCTCACTTTTAAGAAGACCAAAAACACCCATGGGTGGCAAGTCAAAAGACATGCCAGGAAAAAAAAGAAAATTCAAGGCCTACTTATACAGTAATAGTAAATAAATAAATAAAAAAGTACAGGCATATTGCTTAAGTAATCCAAAATAATGATACACTGTGTAAGCTAAATTAATAGAAATTTATTTTTTCTTTTCATTTCTTTTAACATAATTGAGATATCAGTAGAATTTAGGCAAATCATTCTTTAATCTGGCAAAAGGAGGAGTCAGATGAACATTTTTGAACAGATTTATATGTCTATCTCTTTTTCTAATGATGCTTTCCATGAAAGATACTTTTCAATCAGGCATCTGCTAAATGCTTGGAAACATTTAACATAAACAAATTTCATGGAAACATCCCACAGCTTCTTTAGAGCTCTTAAAATGACAAGTGGAATCAATTGAAATCATAAAATCTCTAAGATCAAAAAACCTTAGAGGTCCTTTAACCCAACACACTAAATGCTGTTTCAACACTTATAATTGCAAACATTTCATTACTTCTTTGAGAAGTTCAGTTAAACTTCTAAAATATTTATTTCATTATGAGCCAAAAGCTTTCCCATATAATAGTGTTACAATTATTTGACATCCATGATCATATACACTGCAACCAGCAACTCTTCTTCCGGGTATATATCCAAAGCAGTTGAAATTAGGATTCATATAAATATCTGCACTCCCGTATATATTGCAGCATTAGTCACAATAGCCAAGACAAAAGCAACCTAAATGCCCACCAGTGGATGAATGCATAATGAAAATATGGTGCATAGTACAACAGAGTATTATTCATCCTTAAAAAATGGGGGGCGGGGGGGGATCGCATTGATGCTTTTCAATGGGAAGGTTAAGCCTCACTTAACAACTGCCTCTCTTTTCTGTTTACCCAGGTAACAAGATATATTGGGAAGACCTCTGGAGAGAAAGGGAGAAAATCCTTGTTTGAGATTTTTTACTTTCTGAATGACCTCTCTGTTTTAGTTTCTTCTAAGGTGAGGAAATAATCTAGAGCGTTTCCTAAGGCAGTCTCCAATTCAACCTCATATTCTATATTACTAAACTAGAGGCCTGGTGCATGAAATTTTGTGTATGTGTGTGTGTGGAGGCAGGGGTGTTCCCTCAGCACAGCCTATGCCCTCTCACAGTCCGGGATGCCTCGGCGGACATCCCTCTCACAGTCCAGGACCCCTCACTTCTTACTGCCTGCCTGCTCGCTGCTCCTTACTGCTCGGCTTGCTGCTGCTTAGCTGCTCCTTAGTGAGTGCACTGACCACCAGGGGGCAGCTCCTGAGTTGAGCGTCTGCCCCCTGGTGATCAGTGCACATCATAGCAACTGGTCATTCCACTGTTTGGTCAATTTGCATATTGGGCTTTTATTATATAAGATAAGTAGAGCAATACTCTAACTTAACCATATTTTTTACTGTAGGTTCAGCACATTAAATGAGGAGAAGGAAAAACTGTGTGTTAGAGGAGAGGAAAAGACATTCGAAAAAAATAAATGGAATTGAGTAATTCAAAATATAAAACACAAAAAAATTCAAGCCAATTCCATGTACAAATGAATGTTCTATGTCAGATGTGGCAAAAATTTTCCAAAAAATGGAGGAAATACTTTACCTGATGTTGAGGAGCTTCAGTGCATTTAGCAGCACTCCCCTTTTCACATCATAGTCTATTTTCTGATCAGTCCCAAAGCTCGGAGCTCTGTTGATCTAAAATTTACAAAGAAAACAATGAGAGTAAGCAAATGTGGGTAGGCCAAAAAATACAAGGTGTTCCCCCAAAAATTGTATACACACTTTAAAAGCTGATAGCTCAATTTTGAAAATGAAGTGAATTTTAATAAACACTGCCTTTATAATTATTCAAAGTGTGTGTATATATTGGGATGCCCTGTATTCAATACATATTTGTTAATCTAATGTGGGATCCCCAATCAGTAGAAGGACTCTGGAATAAACCTCAAAGCTCTGCCTGGTAATGGACCGGTTACTATTGCCTAGCCTCCCTTCCCCATCACCCTAAGCCAGGAGTAAGGAATTGATTATCACCACCCCTTTCCTCCTGCTGTCTTGGCTCAGGGTCTTTGGTCAGCATATCTGCCCTCCCCCTCTTTTCTACTCTCTTCAACCAAATTACCCCAAGCACTCTTGAGTTTTAACTTCAGAGAAGTAAAAGTGACTCATCCTTCCATTACTAACTGAAAAATAAATTTTGCTTCTTCCTACCTGAATCAAACAAGATTCATCAATTTTCATTTCCAAAGACACTAGCTACATATTACCCAGAAGATACCATTAAGGGCAGCTGCAGGCTAACCTCCATGAACTTTCTAACTACGTAAGGACTCACGGGAATAAATGAGCCATGTGTGATTGTGATGTCATTTCCGACATCATTGCCAGGATTTCATTAGACAAAAAGCAAAAAATAACTCTATGTACCCAGAAACCCATTAGACAATATACTACCACTTCAGCAGCTGGAGTTTTGTTCTTGTCTTTGTTGTTGTTACGAAAATGTAACTGGAATAGCAGGTGTTTAAGAAAATTAAACACTGCTGAGTTCACAACTGTAGCTTAGCCTCATGACCACCAGATAACTCCACAGGCTATCTAAAAACATATGCTACGGGTCACAGACAAGGGCTGTCTGATACAAATCTATCACCACAAGAGAGAAGGTAGTTGATGACATGCATTTTACAATTGGCAGTTGAACGAAAAAACACATTAAACTTAAATCACTCAGAAATACAAATGCCTCTAATTAGGAATGTGGCATGGGATCACTGCAGAAAAATTAGTAAATAGAAGCTAAATAAAAGACAGAAAGATCGCCTGTAGCCTGACTACCTAGTGTATTGTTAATCATTTAATAAATGGTATTCCAGATATTTGCTATGCATATTTATAATATTCATTTTACCTTCCCAATAAATGTCTATATTTAATTATACTATTTTATAATCCAAGTTTTCCTTTTAACAATGTATCATGAAAATCTCCCATGTCAACATTTTGACAGATGCATGATAGTCTTTTTATAGAAATACCAGAGGCCCAATGCACAAAATTCGTGCAAGAGTAGCCCTTCCTTCCCCTGGCTGCCGGCACCGGCTTCCCTCTGGCACCTGGGACCCAGGCTTCCCTCTGGGTGCCAGTAGGCACTTGGGACCTGGGCTTCCCTCTCAGCCCCAGATTCGTCCAGAAGGTCGTCCAAAAGGATGTCCGGAAGGATGTCCGGCCTAATTAGCATATTATGCTTTTATTATTATAGATGCCAAACTGTATTTTTCCTTTGATAATTTCTGATTCAGAAGGTGATTAACATATTCCCGCCTGTGTGCTGTGCTCTTAGGGAAGGGAGTAGCTTGGTAATTGCAAGAACATCCATTTACTCAAGTGTTGTTCAAGTGTTATCTCTTAAAAGTGCAGAGAAAGGATAATGTCTTTTATATGAAAAATGTTTCAACCATTCCATAGTGACTCAGATCTCTAGAATTTGTAATACAATGACAGTTCTGCTATTACATGTAAGTAACAAATTATAAAATTAACCAAATATTTAGGAACTGACGATTATTAATTGGTTCACTGAAATGTTATTTATATAGAATCCCTTAGGTGCTCCATTCTAAAACTGCAGTCTGGAGTTCTGCCAGGCATATCCCTTCTGCAGAATGGTAATTTGGGACAATACAATCTCAAACCCCTCTCTCATATCTATTTCAAAGTCTTCCTCCTGCTATCACATAAAAGAAACTGGTTGATGAAGAAATGTAACCAATTAAAGTAATACATGAAAAGGTTGAAAAAAACACCTTTTGCTCAATTAATGTCTTAGATTTTTAAAATTTTTATGAGAGTGGTACAAAAAAAATATGAGAACCACAAATGGCTCACAGAAGAAACTCTGAAAATTAGGTTTCATAGAGCCAAAATTCTACTTTGTTATGTTGATGGCTTCTCTAGTTTTCACTGCCTAAATTCTAAAACAGACAAAACCTAGCCAATGTTATAGTCTTAAAATTCAGCAGCTTGTAAAAGGATGTGAAAATGAAAATTATTAGGAAGCAAATTAAATTAGTATTATTTATTAACTGTCCAAATTATAGCTGTAGTATCAAAACAAACACAATCATTTCATGCACATATAAAAGTATCCAGAATAGATTCTGTGCTCCTAAATTAGTGTTCTTCCCTCTGTCCAGTAACTTCTCCCCACCCTACCCCCATTTCTCCAAACCCCAACCCCTATCCCACCTTCTAAATACTTTGCTCAGGTGTTCCCTCTTCTGCAAAGATTGTTTTCACTCTCAAATACACACATGAACACAGAGAGGTTAGTCAGTTTATTGTTTGTGCTGGCACCCTGCTTCCTTATACCCTCAACCATTACCATAAAACACACATCTGAGTCCCCACAAGTGTTTTGTCTTATTCTTCTTGTATCTCTACCACCTGGCACAATGACTTATTGAAATTAATTCAAGGCCCTGCCGGCATGACTCAGTGGTTGAGCATCGACCTGTGAACCAGGAAGTCACGGTTTAAGTCCCATCAGGGCACCTGCCTGGGTTACAGGCTCGATCCCCAGTGTGGGGCGAGCAGGAGGCAGCTGAAACATTGATATTTCTCTCTCTCTCTCTCTCCCCCCCTCTCCCTTCTTCTTTAAAATCAATTAAAAATATTTTTTAAAAGAAATTAGCTCAGTTAAAGTATGAGTATTCATATCCTTCCAAATTCAATGATTTTCCCTAATAATGTTTTCTATGCTTGAAAATTTCTGCAATTTGCCTCTACAAATCATTAGTGGAAATCATTCCAGTGAACTAAAAGTTATCGCATTCTCAGAAGCACCTTCTCCATTGCTCCACTGGATGGCGCCAAAAGGTTTTTTAACTACATATTAGAACCATTACCGTTGCAGCTGAAAATACAAAGAAACAAAATCATTACATAAGGTTCTTTTCACTGTTTTAATATAATTAAATGTTTATTCTCCACAACTTTTAGTTGTGTGTTTTTTTCTTTGAGTTTTTTAATGGTTCTGATTGATCCAGAAATAATGAAAAAAAAATGAATAGAAAATGAAACTATGTTAATGCAAACAATAGTATTTAGCCATTGGTTATTGTGGAATTTTGTAATGGTTCTTATTTTTCTGAAAAATGAAGGACAAAATAAAGTAGAAGAAACATTAATGCAAACAATGGTATTTTGAGCCTTAAAAACAAAACAAGACAGAATTCAACCATTCAGTCAATTCTGGTTTACCCAGCTAAGTTCCTATTAGGCCACTGCTTTTAAAAACTGTAAATGTCTGTAAAGTCATTCGTCCCTGCTCTTCGTGCAGTTCTACCTCCTGCATGTGCCTTCACTTTTTCCCCACCCATCAAGGATAAAAGACAAGTATCAGGGGTAGAAAAAAATACAGCTGAGAGCAGGAAAGGGTGACTGCAGACAAAACAATAACCCTAGACAATGTCAGGTCTCAGTACACTAGACATGGTGCAGCCAAGTGCTTTGATATCCAATGGAGGGAGCTAAAGGATAAGCAACATTCCTCATATTCATCTGATTTCTAGGGTCCGAGCAGGAGCAAAATTTGAACACCTGACAAAACTGTAATTGGAAATAATACGTATTATTTACTCATAGTACATTCAATACACACAGGAAACCATCGGCCCTGTGGTATGGAAAAGTATTCTTCCCAAAGAATATATTTTGAATGTTTTGATCTCATCTATCACTCATTCAATTTACTTTTGCAAGCCTTGATATTAAAGATGTAATTGCAAACTTCTAAATCATTAACAAAAAAGAGAGATAATCCAACTTAAAATGAAAGGTAATTGCTGCTGATATCTTCTATAGGAATATATTCCTCAAAAATATAACTAATCTTGTAAGCACTAGTGTTTGGAAACGTGCTGTTTTCCTGATAAAGTTTCCTACATACAGTACTTTATGACCATACACTCTGCGACCTAAAGTTTCTTCTGGATATATTATAAATTAATTAAGACTGGAAGGAAAGGTACAAAAAAAATCTTTAAAAGAGATCATTTTTATTTTTTCCTGTATATTACCCTGTATTTTCCAGATGTTGAGTGACCTTTTATAAATAAAAGGAATGACAACTCTGCCCATAGCAGGGACGGGCAGCAAATCCAAAGGCACACAGCTGATGGGCTGGACTTGAGGGGAGGCCCAGGTATGTGATATGGCCATAAAGGCACATTCAAGCCACCTGGGTGCCAAGATTAATGAACCCACTGGAGCATCTCTCTTCGAGAGCATGAAGGGAGACACACTGAGGACAGAGAGGCTGTGGTCCCGGGGCCCAGGTGCCCACACAGAGAGAGGAAAGACAGCACCCACACGTCATGAAGTGGTAGAAGCCCTGAGGCTGAGAAAATATTGGAGGAAGTAGATTTAAAAAAATCAGTAAAAGTAGATCCACACAGATATTCAAAATTCCTGGCCTAGAAATTCAATACTAATTTGGGAAAAGTAATATCAAACACATATTGATCCTTCCTAGAACTGTTCTGTTCCATGAATTTTCATTCTCTTCCTCCCACACACTCCATTCAGGCCTCTTTCTGCTCAGTCAATGAGACAACGGTGCCAAGTACACATTTAAAAACGTTTGTTTTAATGCACAGTGATAACATCTCTTCTTAAAAATGCCTTACCTCCAGAAGCCACGGCTTTAGCTTTCTGTCCAACAAAATATCAAATCCCAGGACTTCGAAGCAGACACTTTCACTCCCCGGAGGCTGCCCAGGTCTGCACATCCGATAAGCATGCAGGACATGAGGCTCTGCCACGATCAGAGTCTTAACCACCAGCTCCTACAAGCACAGATTTTTAAAAGGGGAGAAAGCCTTATTTCCTTCTCATTTACACACGTGGCAATAAGGCCTGGACTTACACACTAGCCCTGGGTCACCCAGCCCTGCCACTGCCCTGACTTCCCTCCATCCAACTCTTCCCGGACCCGCGAAGCTCCCGCCATGCCTGTCTCCTCTGGGATCATCTCAGTAGCTGTTCCCTCTTCTTGAGACACTCTTCTCCCCCTATGCCTATGTCTTCATCCTTGGTATCCAGAGAGGCCGTCCCTGACCCTGGGGTCAAAACCGCCACCCATCAGCCCTTACTGCATAGCTCGCAGCACAGAACCAGCCGATCTTTTCCTTGTTTTGTTAGAGCAGGGTCCTTGTGTGTCTGATTTACAACCCCATGCCAGTGCCTGCCATAGTACCTCACATATAGGAGATGCTCAAAAACATCTGTGAACAAATGAGTAAACTAACTCACAGACGACACTATAGAATGTCCACTTGGACATCGGAAGTGAGGCAATACTGCCACTAAGTGAGCTGGCTGGCTGGCATCATTTTCTGTGAGGACACAGACTATGACGGGGCTGAGTTACTGATGCCAATAAAGCAAAAAGTTGTTTTAACTGAAGTTGGAGAACAAGCTATGGATTGTTGAAAAGCTGCCCCACTGGTTTTTGCTTAGAATATATTGCCTTTGGAACTGCCTCTCTGCAGGTACTGCTGCCAATGTAAACTGGCAATAGTAATAACACCTGCTGCAAAAAGACTGACGAAGGGACAAAATGAGACTCCACGTGAAACTCTCAGTGTAGCGACCAGAGCACACTGAACCTGAACTAAGTGTTAGCAACTTAACTAAACTACTGTTACAGTTATTCTATTATTCCACTAGAAGTCCATCTCATATGTCAGGTCAGACACAAAATCCCACTACCAGCTGGGCGCAATATTTAACCGTATGGGAGAAAAATGGAAGGCAGAAATTAACCTCACTGATACCCAGAATCTCAACCCGATGCTCTCTATCTGGAAGTAAGGTCAGAGATGCCATGAGGTTGTTCTCAGAAAATTTTATTCAAAATAACAAATTAAAGGTAACACCAAAGAATTTAAAGATGAAAGACAAAAAGCACTCCATATAAATCTTTGGAGATATTACTAAAACAACTGGAGAGTACCAAAAAAAGTTAAAACCTTGGCTAATAAGTGTCTGTGTAGAACAAGACAGTGAGGGGAATTAATAGACCCTGATTACCGATCTCTGGTTTTTTCTACATAAAAAACAACACATTTTTAGAAATATAAAGGCAAGCTTGTAGGTATATGTGAAACCAGGAGTGATATAATCAAGCATAAATCAAATATCACCAATTCTTTTCAAAGTATCATTGCTTTGAAATATGATTTGTAGATTTGTACACAAAATATACAAAAAGGCATTCAGTAAAAATGGTTTTATAAATTATTACAATCATTTTTAATCTCTATGGCCTGATTTTCTGTTGATTTTCTATTCATTCTTGGTGCTTCATGGAAGGTATTGCTAGTTTTTAGATATAGGCAGTTACTTTTTTTAAAAATTACCCCCAGAAAAGAGGTTATTAAAAAAAAGCCTAAGTTAAATTCATAAAATTTGTAAACTATTAACATTATGATAAAAATCTACTACATTTGCCTTTTCTACCTCCTCCTATCATTCTCTTTTTATAATATAGTATTTTGTTGATTCACCTAAAATAGAGAGATCTTTACAAAGTATATGTAATTCTGAATAATGACAAAATTTTAAATAACTAAATAAATGCAGACAATCTGACAAGATAAATGTAAGAAATGTATTTGGAAAAGTTAATAATTTAATAAGTTATTAATTTATTTAAATTATATAAATTTATTAATTTATTAAGTAATTTATTACTTATAAATTATTAACATACATTCTAACTAAGGTAGACAAAAGTGATGCAAAATTTAGGCATTTATGGAAGAGATCATGAATGTGTCAGACCTTAATAGACTCACATTGGTCATGTTTAGGTCATATCTGAAAGTTATACTTTAGGCTATAACAGAAAAGTTAATTGCCTAATCTATGAGTAATATTAGTCTTACTTCTATACCTTCTCCCAATTTAATCATGTGGATAAAGTGCCACTTATAAACTTATGATACTCACTTTTCTCTGGTTGATTCTCTCTCTACATACTTCACCAAGGCAGCCCAACAGGCGCCACCTTTTCACAAAGACATTCCCATATGCACATGAAATAATTGGTAAAGAAAAAAGAATATTGGAGAGTATATGAAATGTCCTTGGTCTCACTGTGCTAATCATCAAATAACCTACTCATTAAATCATACAGGCAATATCATGTACCATATGATCTTCCATCAAAAAAGCAACTGCCCCAACATAAATTTCTCAACTCTGAGTCATCTAATGCACTATGATAGTAAATCTATCATTAGAACATTTTTTGGAATTTCCACAAAATTGGCCTTACTAAAATAAATAAGTAAATAAACATAGAATTATTGTAATCAAATTTTTGTTTGGAGGTATGTAGTTTCTCAGGAAGATATAATAGAAAGTAAACAAGTTGGTGGGCAGCTAACCAAATCCAGATGACAAACATTTTCATGAGTCCTACATTTTTAAAACTTTTGACTGGATTGTCAATATTTACAAATCTGGGGATTTACAGCTTCTATTGACAAATTAGGAGATGAACCACCCTGGGCCCAAAATATCATGTGCACCAATAGAATAGTGCTGAGTGGTATCTATGTCCTTCAGACCTCTTTCTTATGCTCTTCAAATTAACACAGTCCCCAGCACACCCTAATTGAT